TTACGACTACAGTCATGATTTGGTATCTTGTATATTTTTCTCGTAGCCTGGCTGGTACGTGTCCATTCATATCGCTAATGTTCCACGTGCATTTATGGGTAAGATTAACTAGTTAAGAAATTTTTTGTTTTTTTTTGTTTGTTTTTTTGATAATTCTCATGATCACAAGGTTAGCCGTCCTATCCAGAACTCAATTTTAATAATACAAGTGCTGTATAATCCCCAGCATTTCATTTCACAGCAGTCATTTATTAATGCGGTGATAAATCCTTGCTTTACTTTTTATCACACGAAACCGCTGAAAGAGACTGAGGTCGCGCCTGGTAACACGCGCCAAATATGGAAGAAACTGCTGTAGTTAGTAAGTGATTGGCTTCGGTTTTGTCTCTAGAATCAATGGAGCCCAGTTCTCCGCTGGTGATATTTGGATTACTTCCTCACGAACAAAAGGTAAGAATCAGGATTCACTGTTTTGAAAAGAACATGTTGGGTTAGACGTTCAATTTTTAACTGTTCATGTTTGTTTCTGTTTTGACAAGAGGATGGTGGGATAAACGTTCAATTTTTAACTGTTCATGTTTATGGTTTGTTAACTCAGGTGTCAGTGGTTCATTTCGTGCTCAAGAGACATCCAACATTTAAGGATCCCGTTCAATCCAAGGTGAGTCCATATTGATACAGGCCTTTACAAAGACACTGGTAACATATGCTAGTAAAGATACGATATTAAAGATCATTATAGATCATAGGCGGCAACATCTTCCACTGGACGGCAAAATATGCGTGAATAATTTTTGGCCGCAACCATGGAAATATTCTTTACCCGACTTGACATTACAATAACATTGCCCAACTCGTTTACTACATAACCCTGGCTTGTAGCTGCTACATATACGTGTTCGTGCCTATTATTTAAATCGTCCAGTGTTGATTTCTGTAGGTGCTTTAACTCGTATTGAACCATTTTTTGCCAGGAAAGACTGATTTTCCATTGCGGTTACCGAAGATTTTCAGCGTGTCCCGTATTTTCTCAGCATACATCGGGGGATAAACACAAGGTGAGACTGTTCAAAGTTGCCACGCCACATATCAGCCAAATATACGATTTGAATTCAGATAGAAGCATTATATTTATATATCAAAAAATGCACTTTCTGGAAACATTTGAGCATGAAGATTTTAATCCTCAGTTCATATCGTTCTAATATAAATGGTTTGTTTCTTAAAATATTACTATTACTAATGTTATTGTGACAATCAAAATGCTTGGCTCAGTGCCGTTACTAAATGTGAAGGGTAGAACAATTGAGTTGATATCTTGTTCTGTTTTCAGTTGGAGCGGTTTATGCCACAAGAAGGAGCATTTGTGGCCACACTCTACGCGCCTATCATGTTCCCTCCCGCCCCAGTCCTAGTCTTCACACAGGATAAACACACAAGTAAGTGACTTGAAACACGCGAAGTAAGACCAGTGCTCGATTCAAGTGCCTCTACTCAATCCAGAACCTACATAACTCAATCGTTGCGGTGAGCACTTGTTTAACCTCGCATTATTAGGCAGACTCTCCGTCAGTGAAAAAAAAAAAAACGTATTCGCTGAAATATTAAACACAAATGAGATATGATAATGAATACTTTTTTAAGGGAATTTTGACATAGGGATAACCCCTTAACTTCCTCTTCTAGAAGCATCTACTTTTTTCTCTTTATTTTTAGTTTTTTGTCGTATATCTAGTTTGCCTCTAGACTAAAAATAAAGTGAGCATTTAAGTGTATGTACTTCTCTGTTTTGGCTTATCTTAGTATCTCAATATGTTTCTGCAGGTTGCCACACCCTTGTCGCTACAGGATCGCTTTACAAAGTCGATCCCGACAGAATTGTTGCTAAGAAGATCGTGCTAAGTGGGCATCCTTTCAAGATCAACAAACGATCAGTTGTGTTACGATATATGTTTTTTAATAGAGGTCAGTACTGTTGCGGCTGTTACTAATCTGCTTACTGACAAACACAATATTTCTAATTACAAAATAAACACACTTTTTATGCGGCAGACAATTCGTTAGCTAGGAGTTTCTGTCTTGATGTTTCTCCAGATTCCCAAGAACTGAATAGCAATTGCATGTAGTGATGAGAATTAATCTTGAATTTATTTGAGTAACAGTAATCTCTAATTGATCGTGAACAATGATACAGGAGATATATAATGCATTCATTGAGTTAAATCGTAGTTAACCTTGTTCTGATTCTCGTATGTTGTAGAGGATATCCAGTGGTTTAAGCCAGTAGAACTCTTTACCAAATATGGAAGAAGGGGCCACATCCGGGAACCTCTAGGTTGGTAAAGATAATGCTGTGTTCATTGCCAAATGCTGGTGTCGTTGTAGTTGTTTTTGTTACACTACTTCCCAATGTAACTGAGTTTTTCGGTACTCCTGACAAGATTAAATTTGTTCTATTTAGGTTATACCGTTTGTCAAAAGGGTTTAGTTTTACGCAGATGATAAAAAATTTTATCTTGTGTCTAAGGCCATTTTATAACAAATTTTAAAACGAACAAAGTCGAAAACTGAAAGCAATTTCTTAAAGGAACCAAAGGAATTGTCGAAAAAAGATCCTTCAGTATTACGATGTAACTGTCAATCCAAAACAAGCTTGAAAACATGACCGTTTTTATCTATTATGACCCGTTTTCGTTGTTACCATGGTAACAATGCCTTTGTTATGGTTTCTGTCATTTGGATTATGTCTCTTAAACCAATCCACTGTTGTTGTTTGTGATCTACTCAGTAAGTTGCTTTGATTGTTTTACAGGAACACATGGACACATGAAGTGCGTATTTGACGGAGCTATCAAAGCCCAAGACACTGTCTGCATGAATTTGTACAAACGAGTATTCCCTAAATGGACATACGAGCCCGCGATATTGCCACCTCCAGCAGAAGCAGCAGGGGACACTGAAGATGCTATGGAAATATAAAACGAAAATTAAACTGGCTTCGATAAAAGTCAAGGACAGAGACGGCCAAACAACGTACAAGAAAATAATAAGGAGATCTTAGTTCTGTTATCAACACTAATTTGAAGGTCAACTCCTTCAAAGTCGCATTAGCCAGGTCTCGCTTAGTATTACACAAACTGGGTTTGGTGTTTGCTTGTTGAAAGACTACGTACTCGTTAATACCCGTGTACCCAATCAAACAGCCACAATCTTAAATAAGTTACATACGCTATATTACTTAGCCTACGACAATCGCGTGCTGAGTCACTTGCTCAGTCCGTTCTCCAAGGTAGATTTCTTTGTCCTAAAATGGGATCCATTTTTTAAGTGAATCGATCGCAACAAAGGTAAAAGAGAAAATAGGAGGAGACACGTGGGGAATGTTTTATGCCTAGCAAAACGTTTTTATGTTTTAAAAAGTTTGCCCAACTAGTGTTTTGCGAAGTTTTACATTTCTGTAGTTCAAAGTTTAAATCTTTTCTCGTTTTCTTTTGGCGTTGGTAGGATACATAAGGTAATATGATTTGAGTTAGGATAGATAAACTTGAACGCGGGTTAATAAATACAACTGACGTACGCTAACTGTAGTTGCGAAGTAACTTCTGTTAGGAATAGTGTGGCTAGGTTATTAATATGCATGTGGCGATTTAAAACGAGTTCTGTACCTGGGCTTTCGATCGTTAAGCGTCCCAAACGCAGTCTGGAGAAGCGCGTGTTTACTGTTTCTAAGTTACATGACATTTCTCTTAGCTGACTGCCACATGTACATCTTCCATATATTTTCCAACCTCGTCCCAAGAGTCCTTCAGACATCGAATTGCCTGATGCCAATTTTTCGGATTTAAGTGAATGAAAGTCTTAGAGGATGAGGTTGCCACTATTTTGAAAGAGGATATTTGACAACTTTGTCAATTAACGTGCGAATGTTTACCAGGATTTTCTAGGAAAAAAAAAAGGCAAAATAAAACGCGTCTCATCTCAAGAGCTTTATAGCAGTAACATAAGTACGTCAAAGACCGGGTTGTTTCTTTCACAATGCAGTATTGATCTCAATGTCGTAACGTCCGCTTTTAAGTCGTCTGAATTCTTGTTTTCCTACACAGCTATATTAGTACGGCTGTCGGTTTGGGGCACGTACAGCCGGCTGTTGTAGAATGTAGCTCCGGAGATGCAGGAATGTCAAAGCTGTGGCGTAGTACAAAACTGTTGCCATGGTAACACAGATAAACATGTCCTAATATGTTTCACATTTAAAGTTGTTTTGTCGGACTCCACGGACACCTATTACAGTCTACACCTTGAGGGTCATATAACCGTTCAAGAGAACTTAGAGGGTGCAAACATGGTCCTAAGAAACCACATGCTTTAGTTATCAATTGTCTTATATGGAAATCTGCAAAGTTTATTCTTGTTAGCGGGCTAAGGTAAAAAAAAAGTAAAAAAAATGCGAGGAAACTGATTGTAAACTTGTACAAACCAGTTCTGGTAGAGTGGTACCTCACAGGCTTGCAGAAATTAAAGAAAAAAAACATTTCCGTGCTCCTATAGAGTCGTAGAAACACTAGTGGATATTTGCAAGGAGAAATGTTATAGCAGCTTTTTCGAGTTTCGTCAACCTTACACGGGTGTTTCTAGAACTTGCTAGGAACACGGAAAAGACTGTGAGAAAAAGGAAAGAAAGCACTCGTTTATTTCAATTATCAAAATGTAAACTCTGTTTGCTCGTGCCGCCATCACGTCATGGCAACTCGAACTTGTTATGTGTTTAGGTTTGGCTTCTGAATTTTCTTGACTTGTCAGGAAATTCTTAGAAACAACATTAAAGAAATGGAGAATTTTAACTTGAACAGGTTTATGAATGCTGGTTAATGTTTTGTCTCAAAGAGTTAAAGGTCGAAAAAGGTAAAGATAAGTTACATAGTCCCATAAATCTGGGGAATTGCTATTTATTAATTTTAATTATGCAAAAGAAACCAAAGTTGTTGAACTGATGAAAAATTAATGGTTTAGTTTTGCGTGCGATGATTCTGTGTTCAGCAAAGAGTTAAACGCCCTCGCCATAAAGAATAGAGATTACCAATATTGGGCCATGTAAAAAATAATCAAAGAACGTATATGGCGACATTGTGAAGTGTACCGGCTTGAAATTATGACAATTTACTCGAGTATTCCGTATTTTCTCTGGCCGTACTGTTTTGGTAATCTATTTCGTCTCTTTCGCTCGACTTAAATTTACATCTTCTTTTTAAGGTAAACAGTGGCTTATCAAACTCGGGTAATTTATGCGCACTGCAGTTCATTGAATATGTATGAGCAATTCAGTTAATATGTATATCTTTCCTGTTGAAGTCAGCCGATATAAGAACCTCCACAGGAGGTGCTTCAAAGACATTTTAAGCGAAGCAGCGCGCTATAAAGGACTGTTGCTCAACCAGAAAAATATCACTATAGAAATTAGAGTTGCAAAGAAACATAAGCCAAGAAAATCAGTATGGCGCGCGGGTTGAAACCGTGGTATCAGTCGAAGACTTTGACCATTTTGGTGATCCTCTGGGCTCTGTTCACCACTTGTTTGGGGATAATGATTGTAGTCATCTTTGTACAACCTCACTGGATCAGCGGAGAGAATCCAGCTACTGAAAAGAACGTGAATTTCGGCCTGTACCGTAACTGCTCGGACAATTTAAATGACTGTTCCGGGAGCCTGAACGAATTCAACAACATTTACTCGACCGCTTGGAAAGCATGCACCGTTTTCGTGGCCCTGGCATTTACCTCGACCTTTATTTCGGTAGCAATGATGTTGTTGTATTGGTTGTGTTGTTTCGAGTCGACAGGCATTGGATTTCGAACCAGCAGTGGACTTCAAGCCTCTGCAGGTTTGTGCTACTTACGATACTGATTATTTCTGGGTCGTGGTTTTTCGACTCTTTACTCATTACTCTTTATATGATATGTAATGCAAGGTTGCAGAGAGGTTAAATAATCTTTTGTTTAATTGATGGTTTTGCTCCACGCTCAATAAAATTGTATTAAGTAGTACCTATTAATTAAACGGGCTTTCAAGTTATAAATTATGTCATATATTTGGAGAGGAACGAGAAAAAAGATTAGCTTGGCTGTTCTTATTAAGCAAGTAAATACTCCGGCAAAAAACTGACTAGCTAGCGATCCGGTAGGCTATTTCCTACTTGACGATTGCTCTCATTGCATTTGTTTAAATTAATCGCGCTGTGTTAGTCCAACAGGTTGCAAAATTATTTCCGTTGTAAACATGTTTATCACTTTGTAAGAGAATAATCACCTCGACCTTTAGAGTCTTGTCAGAAGATTAACAGAAAAGAAAACTAACGTATCGTTAGTTAACTAAACGAAGTTGCGTTTAATCTGACACAGTCAGGAAGTGAAATTTTATAAGATTGGCCTCGGTTCAAATGGAAGGCAACAAGTTATGGTAATGAAGTTTCCTTTTAAGTATACTTTAACCCTCTCATTTCTTTCCCTGTATTTTTTTTTTATCAAACTCCTGAAAAGCTCTGTAGTTTTTCTCCTGGACTACGTGAAAAAGCTTTTAAATCCTCTCTACTTTTTGGAAGACTGCTTTCCGAATAAGAAGTTTAAGCTAAAAAGACGTCCGAAAAAGTAGATAGGGTTGACGTTATATTGTCAGCATTTTAACTCAAAGTCAATTGTCTTCTGCGACTTTGATAAATACTTGACTGATATCGGTCCTTTCCATCTTCACAAGAGCCAGATTCCACTGAATGATTAAAGTGCTCTTTCAACGGCAACAGAATATTTTGGCGATGGCCAAGCAAAGTTCAGGCGGTAAAAAACAATTGAACAACGATACTTTTTATTCTTCTTGTTCAATTTATTGGAGATTAGATAAAATTCCGAAGAAAATGTGGGCCTATCGTGAATGAAGGGAAATGAAGACCCTAAAGGGATTAAGTGAGAGCTATATTGCACGATTTCTCACGAGTAGCTTATACTGAAATATTGGCCTTCATTGCACACCATTCACGCATGGTTGTGTCTTTTCTTGAATTATCTTTACCTCTTGGACATCTTAATGCCACAAAATGGAAGTTCAAAGTTATGGAGGGCTACTTTGGGTTTGGCCTGCCGAAATTGTGTTGCCTTTGGCGATTTTACACGGTTTAATTGCGTCTTGATATTAGTTCACGGCATGTGAGTATCACCTATCCACCTCATGAAAAAACGTAACACAGTTTATAGTTGAATATCTTGGTCGGTGATCACGGCAAGCGTCAAAACCGTGGGAACATTTTGAATGTGGGTTATGGGTGAACGATTTCTTTTCACCGCTAATAATCTTTTAATTGTTTCCCATTTATTCGTGTGCTAGAGAGACCGCTAAAAGCCATTGATTTGTAGTTTTCAGCAACTCTATGACAAATATTATTAAATTACGGCAATATGGCGTTGGAAGTCAAGTATTCCCGATTCAAACAGTTTCAGAGGTTTTCTTTTTTTCAATTTTCAATTAGTTTTTTTTAAAGTTAATTGTTTACAGCGTTAACCTACTAGCACGCTTCTAAAGTAAAACTCTTGTGTCTTATATTGGATTGCTGAACCCGAGTTGCGGGGGGGGGAGGAATAGGGTGCCATTAGCCAACCGAAAAACGCTTTGCAGTCATCACTTAGTCGATAGATGTGGTGCATTACAGTACTTAATATGACAAGGCACACCTCCCATGACATAGTCATTGAATCTCCCTTGCTCTGGAAATTTCACCTCTTAAACAACTCTTCTTGTGTTATTTTGTCTGCCAAGATATATAATTGAAATGAATCCCTCGTGAGAAAGAGGTCTGAGATTCCCGAGAGACGCATACCTTAGTGATGACGTACACACGCTGTTCCGGCACAAATCTCTGGCGCAGTGCTATATTCTCGGTATGGAATGGTTTAGTTCCTCTCATCTCTCACAAAAGGAAATGAGATAACGGACGAGAGACGGGTGTGTAGTAGATCCCATGGTTTTAATTCGTCACGCCAAACAAAATCTTGTGAAACGCTCGTTTAGGCGTTTTGTTCTTAAGAGGAGAATGGAATATGACAAAAATATAAGGACAAATAATTGGCGGGCTTTCTGCTTTTCACGATTTACAGACCTACAGATACTCCTGGGTTCAAAGTATTTACTAGACTATTGTATATTCTTACTCCCCACTTTCTTAGTTACCTATTCAGTTTTTCTTTACATGTAAGTTGACCCTCCTGTAAATCACGTTTGGTCAAGATGAGCTTTACCTACTTATGAGAAAAAGTAGTTATTCATAATCACTTGCAGTTAAAATGATCTGTTAATAAATTATCTACTGCTAACGCACGGAAACCGTTAAGGATTATTTTTCAGTCGATACGAGTCTCGAAAAGTAAAAGTTCATTATTTTTGCATTACAGGTTTGTGCATGTTAATTACGTGTCTTGTACACCCTGTTGGATGGGACACTCCAGAAGTCCAGGCAATCTGTGGCCTCGAAGCTGGTGTTTACAAAATAGGAAACTGCAAAGTGAATTGGGCCTACTGGATCGCAGTTATTTGTATGGCTGATGCGTTCGTGCTTAGCTACCTCTCCCTCATGTTCATCGAGCGGGAGATTGGGACCCCAGCTGTTACAAGCAGAAAGCGATCAAGTGCAGCAAGTGCCGATGACGGCTTCCGAGGAAGGAGAATGGCGTCGAATGGTTACCATGAACAAGACACGACAACACTGTGACGAGGGAAGACATGGGACAATATTCAACACAGTTTTTCTTTATCCTTGCTGTTAGTATGGTCTATTAAGAGCAAGTAGCCGCCACAATGGTCTTAATATTGTAACGCAAATAAGTCAAGCAGTCTGCAAAGGAGTAAACTTCAGCAAGATGACAATTCATGGAGAAACGTATCCGTCTAAATATCCAAGCAGCAAATTTATCTAAAACGCCAAAAGTAGCTATTAAGATTCGGAATAGTTTCTTCTGCAATACTCTCAGCATAGTATTTAGGAGAGACTCACAAAGAAATCAGTCAATTGAGATTTTAGCTCTTTGCTTAATCAATAGAATGAAGTATTTTAGTCCTGAGATAAAGTTTTTTCTATACCTATACAGTGTGGATGCCGTTTAGAATTTGTAAAATAACGGCACTTTTTATGTAACTACATCTACTTGAATGTATCTCTTATTGTGTGTGAAAGATAGTAATTGTAAAAAAGAGTCAGAATTTTTTTATTTGTCTGTTTTTTCGATGTTAGCTTCTAGAACTTATTTGCATATCAGTTAATATATACAACGCTTGTATTAAACATGTAAAGTTAAACATTCTAATACCAATGATTAATTATGAGTTTATGGTGTAAAGATTCTATAGAAGGAATAATCGAGATTTATTGATGAAGTGGGTCTAGTAAGTTAGTTTTGTATACAAACCAAATCTGCGAGCAGAAACATTTCATAAGGTCGAGGGAGGGAAAATATAACTTCTGAAATTGCGTATTTTCTCATTCAACTCACCAGTTGCTAACGAACTACAGAATTATGGATCCAGCATAAACTCATCATTGTTTCTTATATATGATTATAAACTACACTGTAACTGATACATGGGGCTTCTGTGGAATGCGCTTTTCTCTCTCAACCGACTCACTGCTGTGCTGCGACAAATAGTGGGGGATTACGTCATCGATTGTAGAGGCAAACCGAATGTAAGACTAAAGCATTCTCGTTCGGTTCGTAAATAAGCGGTTTAGCAGAAAAACAAAACAGTTTTCTTGTCAAACTTCGAGCTCTTTCTACATTTTATTGCAGGTATTGAATAACATTGTAAAGTACCATAAACTACAGTTTGGAGAGGCTTGGTGAATTTTTAATTTAAACATTTTAGAGTGGATCTGCTAGGTGTAAAACAAATACTTAAAATATATAGCGATGATAATGAAAAATAAAGACGTACAAATGTTGGCAAGGTTGTTTTTTCTCACTTCAGTTGGCAAAACTCTTTATTAAGCAGCCCTCAGGCGAGGTTCCACAGTTTAACGGAAATCAGTCAGATTTTTCAGAATGACTCAGAAACCCAGGGAAGGGGACTTTTGGGAGTTAAAATCCAAAACAACTCCTATGGAGCATCTTCGGCGCTCATTGTTTCGGAAATTGGTCACCGTTTATCCTAGATCTGCGCCTGTCCCTCATCTATGAAATAAGAGTCCCTTTATAATAATCCCCCGTAAGAGATACTTATAAATGATCAAAGTAACATGCGAGAATTGATGGTATTTGTTTTGTCAAATTCGAGAATTTTTGGAATGTTACTGAAGCTCATCAAGGAGGTGAAAAGAAACACATAATTCGAAACTTCATTTTCAAATGTGCTTCGATGGTTTAAATGTATTTTCTATTCTAAACGGTCACTTCTGAAAATGTATGTCGAAACACACGAAACGTTTTGTTTTCCAAGATGCGTTTTATTGTTATGTTTGTCACCGCATGCAGTTTGTGTGTAATTTCTTATGAACTGCACTACATCTGACGGTATGTTATAGAATTTTATTAAACAGGTGTTGGGGATTTTCTCTCCGGTCCTAGCTCTTAATCTTTCTGACCCTAACCCTCATAGGAAAGGAAAGCTAAATCTCTGCAGCTGTGTTTGGAGCAGGAAGTGTTTCCTTATGACTAAGAGGGCTCATACGGACTATGTGTGCAGAAAGATGGCCACTAGAGTTTGTATTCTGGGTCGTGTTAGAGGTTTCTTGACAAAAGAGGCATCAAGATACTTGTTTTAACACAATAAGTCTTCAATTACTTGATGAATATTGTGGCTTTGCATGGAACAGGTCTGCTACAACAAGACCAGTATATAGACTACAGCGCCTACAAATTAGACTGCACTGATGCAATGGGATATTTCCGCTGGATACTAGCCCGTGAGCTGAATGGACCTTCCTGTTAATATAAAGTTTTACTTTATTTGACTTGACTTTACTTTTGGATCACGATGGCGAGATATACGTACATCGAAGCTGTCAGTAGTGTTTGATCATTGTCCTTTCATCAGGCAATTGTGGGTAATTCTGATTACTTTGCAATTCTTTGTTTATTGTTAACAAGTCGATCGGTGATCCAGACCATTTCTAAACTCTTCAGCGTAGACCATATATTGTGAGTCAACGGACGCTTCTTAAGCTCTTCACAGCTCATCATTTCACTGACGCTATATCACACTACAGTGAGTAGTTCTGTGTATTCCAGCTCTTCATGTTCGTTTGTCACGGGCTTCTTTATTGTGGCTTTATTAAAAGGACGATTACTCTTGAATTCAAAGGCATCTCCTTCTTCTAAAAGAAAGCAATATCGCGAGGCCTCGGAATTTCTCAAAGGCGGCACATAAAAAGCACCCGATCCCTTTTCTAGTTCCGTCGTTTTCCGCTCGCTGCTCCAAAGATCTTCTTCGGGTATTTCAGGTGCACGCAGGGAAGGGTCTCTCTGCTCCGGTTCTACATCCGTTGGGACAGGGAGCTCCTGGTATTGGCGGACCTTAGGAGCCTCTGTGTCATTGCGTTTGAAGCGCTTTCGACAAAGAATGATAGCTATTATGATGATAAGGAGTAAGCTGACGAGAACTCCGATGGCAATGTACCGCTTTGATGTTGAACCTACAAGGACAAACTAGTTATATATTGATCAATTCTTTAACTCTAATTAATATAAAGGACAATGCCTAGGAGATTTATATTTGAAACAGATGTTTCTCTTACTTGTTTGTGAAACCGAAGATATTTTGCTCGAAATAAATGCTGTAAAAACCCTCAAAATGTCATTACTAAATAAGATAAACGGAAAAATAACTATAAATAGTTCACGGCGGCTTTTCGTAGAGCACGACATTGAGAGACTTACCTCCTGCAACAATTTTGCACTTGTGTATTGTTCATGCATGTGGCGGCAATACAGAGTAATAGACCCATAATAGAGTAATAACACAAATGCTACAAAGTTTGATACGACGGTCAGACTCATGCAATCAATTTAAGTCTCGCAGAGTTTACAGCAAACATCTCTTACCACGAATAGGGAGAACTTTGATAGAAAATCCATTTTTCTCCACCTCCTTATCTGTGAGAAACCTTATCCACAGAACTGCAGTACTGGAACTGACAGTCGGAGGTTTGCTGTTGCCACATCGCTTGCTTATTTCTTTGGCTTCCTTGAACACTAAACCACCGTCTCTGTAAGCAGAGAAAGGAAGGAAGCTGGTCAGGTGATCGGATTCTTTGGAAGTCTTGCTCCCTATTGTTGTTGCCGTAGGCTTCTTGTGGTTCCAGTAGAGGAGGTAAAGAACGCGTCGGCTCAGATAATAGTGATAATATGCCATTCTTATTGACGCGTTTAAAACTTACATCTATTAATGTAACTAAGGGTTTCAAGAAAGCGGAGGCACAAACTGGTTCATATTTGCAGATAATGGGAGATAGCTAGGCTGGTTGGCAATTGTTCTTATTTAACAATATAGGTTAAAAGTAAAATATCTAAAAACGATGCGTGATTTAAGAGGATGCCATCGGAGGTTTCTTAGCGCGGGTTGGGAGTAATGAGATGTGTCCCACTGATTCTTGATCCCGGCTTCCTGATATAATACGATGAGCTAGCGCTGACAGCAGCAGGATTACTGCTCGGTTCTAACAGTTTGCGTTCCTGATAATAAATAGCTTCTTCTGCTGGGAGCACCAAACACAGATGTTGAAACGTATGCCAGGGAACTTTCGCGTAACTGTTCTTGGCAAGAAAAAACTGTGGAGACCCTCAGCTCGAGATTTAGGTTTCATAATGGACGCAAAATTGAGTTACGACGAGCATTTCACACAGACATTTTAAAAACGTGAATGTAGTATATGGCAAATTAAGCACATCGTAGATAGCCTGGATGGTTCCAAGGACTTCTCTACCAGGAATGCTTTGCTAATTTTTGAACATCAATCAATCGATAGATCGAGATCGATCGATCGATTGATTGATCGATTTAAAGAGGGTGGCACATAATAGTTTGTACAACTAATTAACCTGTGGTCCTCTAAATAAAGAACAATTAAAAATCAATAAAAACCCTAATTAGCCTAAAACCTAATTAAACATCGAAACGTATACAAGGACATAATTTAAAAACGTCTTCCAGCACCTGAAAGAATCAGAAATGCGCTAAGGTCCATGTTCAATCATCCACACCACTCCCACCCCCACCCCCACCCCCACCCCCACGTCTTTCCTACTTAAAATCAAGGAGGACATTAAAGAAGCAAAGTAATCATGGTATTTTGTCGATTTCTTTTGATTTCCAAAGTCAGCTTTTCGGCAGTATTGTGTTTCACTGGCTCATTTCTATGTTGTAGGTGTAGGCACGGGTCTCTTAGAGGAGAACTGACTTAATTGACAGCAAAAACATTCAATTTTGTTCAAGCAATGTGTAGAATATAGCTTATAATGGTTTCTTGTTGCGTCCCTGTTTCTGGTTTTCTTTTCACTGTACTCACCGCACACTTACATAGTCGTGGCAACCAGACTCCAAGTAATTGTTCTCCAGGTCAAATTCCAGAAAAGAGAGTTTGACTTGGTAACCAATCGGAGCCACTATCCTCCATGTACATTGTATGTTCTGGGGGTAAGGCTTGGGGAAGTTTGGACTGCTGAGTGTTACACTTGTTCTTGAGTTTTTGATTGGCACTTCGCGATAAATATCTTCTGTGTGATTTCCACGGGTAGTACATGCTGTTAGACCAAAAAAGCAAAGTACGATGATCAATTTCTAATGTGGGAGCTCTCTCGTCGTACTCTAAGCAATACTTCAACTTGAAAAGCAAAACGAGACTATGGTGTTCACAGGCAAACTACATTCGCGGTTTAGTTTAAGGCTATCTTACACCTTCTGGTACCATTTTGTCTCTTGTTTTTAAGCTTTTATGGGTTTCGACATAGAGATTTCCATTATCGGTACGTGATAACTGTAGGACCAAGGTCACTTCCTTGTTCCATTATACGCTCCCATTAGTTAAGTTTAAATTTGCCTGGTGGATACAGCGTTTATTTGACTCCTAAAGCCTTTGCATGTTACACAATGGGTCTTAGACATTGTTTTTGACAGGCATATACCTTGTTATTACACCGGCCGAAAGCTTGGTATACCTTAAGAAGTTTATTTACAATTATACATTGGAGACCTGGCGTTTATTTGAGACTCAGCGTTTAAACAAGAAAATTGGCTACTTGAGAGTGTGAAAGGGATGAGTTGAATACCTTAACAAAAAAAAAAACTTAAAGAGCCACAAAATTGCCGTGATTCAACCTCCCCCCAAACTAATTATATAAGCCAAAAAAATACTCCAACTTTCTTAACTCAAAAGAATTTTCCATCGTTTATAGACAATCACCAAATACTTTTTAGAACATAAGTCACTGGAATAAAAACGGAAAACGCCATTGGCTCTTCATATACTGCAGTTAATGATAGCATAGCCCGAATATCCCTTATTTGTATCCTTGATCATACCTCTCGCCTCCCCTAATCGAAACTTCAGCTATGGATTAATTAGTTATCAGTGGAAAAGTTGCTGGCAGTTAAGGAATACATGCGAAAACTGCTTAAAGTATCGTTAAAATTCCTCTTGAGATAAAGAAAACAGTGTGTCAATTGGCCTACCTGTAAACTGGGCGTTACTTAAAGCAAGTTTCGCCAAACCTGCAACCAGTTAAAGAATGAGATATTTCAGCATTTCACCTTCTCTTTAACACGTTGCGCAAATGATAGAAGCCAAATCTTAGGCTTCTCGGGCCTTCACTGATTTTGGTGTTATTATATAAACATCACTCGCTTTCCAGAATTCAATTAAGAGCCAGGAAAAAACGATGGGAAAATATGACTTTTATCTCTTCTTTTTCTGTATTTTTATTTTAATTTCCTAAATTGGGGTAATGTTGGGTTGAATGTTACACGAGCATGGCAAGTGTAATATTTGTATTTTATGATGATCAAGATCTCTGAGGGGCCACAGTTTGGAACTGAGGTTCACTTGGTAATAATTAAAAATTAGATTACGAGCTCGAGATTTCTATGAGGTGATAGTTGATGAGGCCGAAGGCCGAATCAACTATCATTTCATAGAAATCGAGAGCGAATAATCTAATTGTTTTAGTAGAATTCTACCTGAAATTTCCTTGAAATAACGATTTCAATTATATCTGGTCTCAGCATTTGACTTCACGCTTTAGAAAATTCGCGCAGACTGAATTGTCGATTGACATTTGCAGTTGTGTACGCGCGCTTACCAATTTCTTTCAAACATTTCGAGCTTTTTTGATTAAAGAAACCGCAAATGCCCTCCTCTCAGTCTTCTAAGGAATTTGATTATCGATTTGCTTATGAATGTTATTTCAAAACTTCGGAGAAACGAGTAAACGTTGCAATTTTGTCGACCACACCAAGCCATTGCCCACTCATCTTTCCCACTAATTGTTGATAGTGTGCAATGGCTCAACCAATCAGATTACAGCATTTACATTAGTATACTATTTAGATCAAAATTTCGAGGTGCTATTCGTGAGATCAAGAGGAAGTTACATTAATTGTATCGAGACTTATTGATCTCGGTTTGACTGATGTATCGAAACTTATTGATCTCTGTTTGACCGATGTAATAAATTACAAAGTTTCTTGTAATAGTTTGCTTGCAGTTTTCTGTAGACCAAATATGTGTACCTACATGAGATATATTTGGAGCTGGCCTCAAAATTATCCAATGTATATGTTTAAAATTTTCTTTGAAATTTGGATGCAAAAAGAACTGGAAAATGTTATAAATTCTGCATACTAATCAGGCAGCTAGCGACATTGACAACTTCAAATTAACTTAACACTTAATTCTACATTCAATATCTCCAGTGAGCAATGCAAGCTTTCAAAATTAAACGTTCTTCCCTATAGAATATGGAGACCATATCGAAAACTGGACTCAAAAAATATTGACAATCATGCTCAGTTAAAATGTTCGGAATCCGATTTTAGCTAAAGTGAAAAAAATATAATATAGCAAACTTTTATGAGTATAAAAATCTGTCATTCATATCCAGCAAAGTCTGGTATTTCTGAAATTTCCCTTCACATTTCAAAATTGTTAGATGTAATTCAAATCAATTGCGGCTCTTTCACACTTACCGTACGCTAGAAAGACCAAGACTCGAGTTTTGAAATTAAATCGTCGACGCGGATTTGCTTGTCCCTCCATCGGTTCGATCCTTGTCTATCACCGTAAACTTGTTAGATTAATTATCGCTGTATTTTAGCCAGAAAGTGTTTGACACGTCCTAGACAAGGTGATAATCAATATTTTCGTCGCGAAGTTCCTCTAATTTACTGCAAGAATATCTTCATTTTCCGTCCTACCACGCAGCGGTAAAGGTTGAAACAATTACCGATCGAGATCAATAACCCTCTTTGGTTTATCTTAACAATCCCAAGCCTCGCTGGCGGCGGACAGTTGTTTTTGGCAATTTACAACAAAGCCATTTCAAGTCTAACAAAAGAATAGATTGATCGATAAGTGACGCACGTCAAGAAATTAAGCAAACCGGAGCAAATAAAGTATAGTTGGCGTAATTTAATGGTTTTCTCCAAAACAACCATGCAATTTTCTTGAGAAGTTAGGAATCGGAGTTCAAGGGAAAGTTGTTTAACGGACAATATTTGTAGCTAATCTAAAGCGTAGGAATGAATTTTGTAATCCATTTGTATTCATGGAATTCTATTTTTCACTTGTTTCCATCCAAGATATGTAAAAACAACGATGGCACGTTTCAGTGGTTCACGAATTGGCTCTTTTGTTCTTATTTTCCTTTCTTTCATAACTAATCTTTCTTATTGTGCGAATGAAACGAAATCAAATTAAAATTCACAGCTTCTTTTTCTAAGCCTGATTCAAGGTGTTAAAAACAATTTGGATGGGAAAACAATATATCCGATTTTGTGGTAAAAGTAAACGTTTGTGTCTATCGAGCTTCAAGAATCAACTGGAATAGAACAGGGATAAAATATACCTAAATTTGCCAAAAAAGGAATTGTGGAGGTAATAAAAAATATTGTACTAAATCTTCGGTATCTACCTTCTAGGCTTGTTTCCGTTTAACACCTCTATGACTGCTGTTTATTATGCAAAAACAATATTTTATAAAGCCGACTTTATTAAAATTCTTACTATTTCGCGAGGTAAGCAGTTGTCTTGATACTGCAAGTGTAACTAAACACTCGTGCATTTAAGTTATGTTTTTCATGTTACTGTGAGTCACCTCAAAATTCTGTTCATTTTTATTTTTATTTCTTTTTTAGTTTTAATCTTCTTAAAATAGCCCGAGTGTTGTCGAAAAATAAAATATTGATCTGCAACTGTAGCCAGCTGTTTAAGACGAGAAATACACTGTTTGCAAACATTGGCGCCAATAACTAATTCATGTCGTTCACTGCTGTCTGTAAAATCGTTCGCTAGAGTCAAAATCGTGATAAAGTACATGAAATATTTCAAAATCGCAGTACTGATCTCATGTGCGCCATCGAATCTAGGCAGAGGAAAAAGACTCGCTTCTTCTTTTAGTTAAAAAACAGAATGATAGTAATAGCATTTTTATCCCATCGGGATATTAAATCGATTATAGTTCAGTGCACCTGTTATGGTCTCGGTTCCAGTGTTCTCGCAGAAAATAATCATTGACTAAGATAAAGGTCATCTCTCATCGAGATCAACATATTTAGCGAGAAGCCTTAGTAGCTAAAATGGTAAGAAACGTTAAAGGGATAATGTCATAAATTGCACATGTGCCGGGCGGAACTTGGAACCTCTTGGAAAGTTCAGTCCAAAATTTTTCAACTTTGAATTTCACAAATTCAAAATCGCATCGACCAGTGGCACTTAGCATTCAAATAGTGTATTTAATTTAAAAATCTGTGGAGATGTACTGGAGAATGGTGTGTGGATCCTGTTGCAATTCGACATAACTAGAATGCAATATGGAGAGATTTGCCATAATGGCAAATATGGCATATCAGCCCGGTCTCGGCTTCTTTACAGTGCCTCAATAAATCTAAAAAGGCCTAAATTTTGGCCACCATGCACATAACCAAGCTTTCGATTAGTTTTCGCTTGTCAATTTTACTAAAGGACAAAGTCTTCACGAGTTAGTTTTAAGTCCCTGGGACTCGGAAATATCGTCCAAGTTCTTGGAAATCAAGTCTAAGTAGGACAAAATCTAAGTTTTCGTAGCCCAGTTCAGTTTCTTCTTCTATCCATTGTCAGAGAAAGTCCAACAAGGGCTATATTTCGGGCCACCATCCTTATAACCAGGCTTTCTATTAGTTTTCCTCTGTCGATTTCACTGAAGGAGCAGGTCTTCGTGAGTTAGTTTGAATGCCCTGGGACTCGGAAATATCGTCTAAGGTCTTGGAAATCAAGCCTAAGTAGGTCAAAATCAAAGTTTGCGCTGCCTGGTGTCTGCTTCTTTCCACTGTCTGAGTAAGTCCAATAGGGGCAATATTTCGGCCACCAAGCACATAACCAAGCTTTCGTTTATTTTTTGGTTGTCGATTTCACTGAAGGACGAGGTCTTGGCGGGTTAGTTTAAAGTCCCTGGGACTCGGAAATATCGTCGAAGCTCTTGGAAATAAAGCCTAAGTAGGTGGAAATCAAAGTTGGTGCAGCCCGGTCTCTACTGTCTCTACTCAGACGGTGGAAAGAAGCAGACACAGGGCTGCGGAAACTTTGATTTTATGGTACCTCGACTTGATTTTCAAGGGCTTGGACGATATTTCCGAGTCCCAGGAAATTTAAACTAACTTGAGAAGACCTTCTCCTTCTGTGAAATAAGAGACCTTTATGAACTCAGTTAAATGGCCTTGCTCTCTATGAGTTCTCGTAGCTCAGTGGATAGAGCACCCGCCCGGTGTTCGGGAGGTCATGGGTTCGATTCCTGTCGGGGACTCACAATTTTTCTTTGTCCCACTCTCTTGTCATGTTGATTAATTCACCTTCACATTTCATTACCGAGCTTAAAATTCACCATCTTTATTA